TTATGTGTCGGTCTCCCCAACTGCTCCCTCCGTAGGCTGCAGATCATCCAGAACTCTGCAGCCCGTGTCCTCTCCTGCGCTAGACTCCGCGACCCTATCACTCCCATCCTCCACTGGCTTCCCATCACACAGAGGATACAATTCAAGATCCTGGTCCTCACCTTCAAAACCCTCCACAGTCTTGATCCCTCCTACCTCTGTGACCTCCTAACCCCCTACCATTCCTGCTCACTCGCTCCCTCTGCTCAGCGGGCTCCTGCCTGCTTCAAATCTGCCGCCTCGCTCACCCCACTATCGGCGGGCGGGCCTTCTGCTACTCTGCCCCCATCCTCTGGAACTCCATCCCGCGGTCCCTCTACCTCGCCCCCTCCTTTGCCAACTTCAAGACCCATCTCAAGGCCCTCCTCTTCGACCATGCTTTTGATCTCCCTGCTTCACCCCGTGCCCTCCACCCTTTCCGCCCCTCACCCCTAGGTCGAGTCCAAAGCTCTGTGCCCAGCACTTTGGGACGTCCACCCAACGTGAAAGGCGATTTACAAATGTAATTTTGTTGTCGTTGTATCGGGTGCATCTGCCTCAGAGACGGGATGAAGAACCATCCCGGGAGCTATTGGTATTCAACTTTGGAAGAAATGCTGCCACTTCAGTTCTAGTAAGCACTGCAGCCTAGGTTAACTCTGCCAATAGTGGGAGCAGTGGGACCTTTAATCTTCCAGTGTGCCAGCAGCGTGAGGTTTATTGGTGTGGGAACTCTTTTTAAGATTATGGTAAGCTCACTCTCCTCTCAAGACTGAAGTCGCACCGATTCTATATGGTACGAATCGTCAGCAGCAACAATGGAGTCTTTCACATCGTCTCAAAGCGCTTTACAGAGAGCAGGAGCCTGAGCTGGATGGTTGAGCTGACGTGAAAGGCGCTATACAAATGTAATTTGTTGTTTGTTGTTGTTGTTGGTGGGGAGGGTAGGTAGGTGAGAGGTGGCTGAATAATTTCCTGTAAAAACTGGCTCAATGCTTTGGTGGATTAGTTGCTCTGTTTTTGCGGTCGTCGTATCATTCTACTCAAAATCCCACTGTTGCATGTTTAAGGTAGCCTTCCTGGTCCTTTTATTGTGTGTGATAGGGCTTATTTTCCCTTAAATCCACTATTTTCCCTCCAATATTTGGTCTTTAAGACTGCCTGTTGCCACAGAGCTCTACTTTATACAGACAGGTGCTGAATCCTGAGCCACGGACCTCCCTGTCTTCTTCACTCCTCTCTTCCTCCCTCTCCGCGCCCCCATTAGCTTTCCCCTGACCGCCCTCTGATGTTATCTGTAAAGTGTACATTGAACACTCGTTTCTTTGTGTTGCTCCACCAAGTGGCCTGAATGAGAACCGATGCGACTGAAATTACCAAGGGTTAGGCGGGTGAGCAGGAGATCGGTTCTTGAATCTAAATTCACAAGCTTCTGGTTGTGAGTCTAGCACCCCTATTGTTTTAGCTACTGGTGTGTGTACCTTGTACTGACATGCTCTCATAGCACGACAGAGCAAACGGATGTAACACATTCTAGATCACAGATATCCCATTGTCCAAACACGCAGCAAAATTGTTTCCAGACGGATAAGTTCCATGGCTTGCATGAACCACCCCTCTCCCAATAGATATTTTCAGAAGAGCAGAGAGTGTGTGTTTGTGTGTTTCAGTCAAGGAAGGGGGAAATGAAGCCGAGAGATATTTTTCTTTCTTAAAAGCGAATTTCAAAGATCCATTTCAAAGTTTTATCAACATTTTTCGTTGCCTGCCTCGTGTCTTTTTATTCGCGTAGCAACGATGGACTGAGATTATAACCGGTGGGGTGGTGGTGTAAATATACTGCATAAGGAATGTGTAACACAGTGGAATCTGGTACACTGGTTTCACATGTCTCAGCGTACCACTACAATTTTCTTCTGACGTCTGGTTGGTAACATGAGCGTGTCTGAGTGAGAATACGAGCTACACTTTGCAGAGTGTGTTTTTGTTTTCATTCCTTGCGCTCGGAACATCCTTTCGAATGTACAAAGCCCGTGTTATTTGCTGTCGCTCTTGGCAAGAATTGACCTGTTTTGTGGAACTCAGCACCGCAATTACCTTTTTGGGATAAATCATCTCCACAAAATCATCTCCGAAAGTCGGCCCTTTCAGTGCAAGACTACAGAGTTGACAGGCCTTTTGTGCATTTCACGTTAAGCAAGTAATAGTGGGGTCCTGTAGGGTGTTGGTTAGAGCACTTGCCTCGCAAGCAAAAGGACCCGGTTCGATTCCCGGGCAGGGCGAAACCTTAGGCAAGTTACCTTACTCCACATGCCTCTGTTTACCAGCAGTAAGTAGGAACCCGGTTGTTAGTTGATTAGCGGATCGCTTTCTGGGGGTAATAATACCTTAAAATAATAACACACACATCTGTTTTTGTGGCTTTCATTAAAATATTTCTTCTTCTGAGGACATTATGTCTATCATGCATGTAAAACGATGCAGTTTGGAATATGACTGCTCTATTTATTACCAGCTTCTTTAGTACCAGTCTTACAAAAAAATTCCTTCAAGAGTAACTTCACAGCAATGTTGCTGTTGCCTCGATATCTCGCAAGCCACAAATGGCTACTGTACCCGTCTAACAGCTACTGAATGAAGTGCATAAAATAATACAGCATTGACAGGTGGGGCAATACTTGCTTGTATCCTGGCTGCTGATGTGGCAGCTGTGGAAATAGGATTTTGCTTGTACAGTTGCCAGACCACAACAGGGGCATAAATTAGCTTTATCCTTCAGCGATTATATTTAACGGCAATTGAAAGGTTAAAGGTGCACGGTGTGATTATGCAATGTGTGTGGCAAGGGAGTGTCTTTTAAGTTTCTTTACTGTAAGGTCACTTTCCTCTTGAGACTGAAGTTGCACTGATTCTTATACGGAATGAATCGACAGCAGCAACATGGTGTCTTTCACATAGGACAATGTCTCGAAGCGTTTTACAAAGAGAGCGGGAGGGGGGAGGTCAGGGGGGGCTGAGCTGGGTGCTTGACGGGGAGGGGAGGTGGACATCTCACAGGTCTGTTGATTCTGAAGCTGGCTAACTCACGCACACTGCAGTCTCAGCCTTTATGTGATGTACGTGGACATGAACAGTCATGGCTGAGAAGTCCTTCTGACGTTGTTCAGTTCTAGGTCCCACGAAGGTACCCGATGACTCTCATGTATTGCAAGCATGCAATACTGCATCACAAGTGCCCTGATATTGTGGAGCAAGCGGGTTAGTGCTCCGCACGTCTTGGTTGCAGCGCGATCTGTGACCTGTGGGTACTGCAGAGCACCTCCTGTTATCGGGAACAGTTGTACATGCAGTCATACATTCTACAACCTTTGATCTGCCCTGCCATAGAGGAAGCAGAGATACCGGAAGGCAGAGCTTACTTGAGAACTTGGTCACTAGACTCAGGCCGGGTTTGCTTGGGTGGTCGTGAAGACATGGTTCAGATCCACATTGTCCTTTGACAATTTGTGGCTTAGATGTGTTGGTGGAGTGTCGGGTGTTGGGGTTTGTCTGTGTGGACAACCCTAGGTACCTTTGCCCACTAAGGAGTCGCGTTCTGAGTGTCTAAAACCACCAAAAGACATTCAGAGTATTTTTTTTCCCCCAGGGTCGAGACATTAGCTTTGCCTTGTGGGTGGTTTTGAAGTTAAAATTGTGAGATGTCTGTTCTTACAGTGAACTACAATGAATTTAATGAAAATGCCTGAGATTGCTGCCTCTGGTATTCCCTTCACAAGGCTGCTTTGTATGGGTTGTGCAAAACATGAATGTTAATGCAACTAAATTCATCAACTATTGAACCATTTTAGCTGTATGTACAGCTACTGGTTTGGCACAGGATCTTTGCCATGGACTTGAACGGGTCCTGCTTCATAATAATTCGGATTATAGTCGGTGGTTGTACAGTATTTCCTAACCTCGGTTACCTGCTTTGCAATGGGTTTGTTTTTGAGTCTCTGTGGGATTGATGCAAGTTGTCAGGGCAAGCCTGGATTCAATAGAAGTTGAAGAATTGCAGTGTTGACTGAGGAGATTAAGGTTGCTAAAAGTATTTCAGTTATGTGTTTATTCTAGGGGAAGGTCCCCCTGTTACTGATTATAATTAGGAATTGTAAGACAGAAAATTAAACATGGGGTTTAAACCGTAACCTAAAACTCTGTTGTGTGGGGTAATGTCAATTGTCGAGGCTTTTGTGCCTTCTCGATTTGGATCAAAAACATTACATTTTTTTCCCCAAGTATAACCAAAACAAAAGGCTGTGTTAGTTTAGTAAACAGTTGGGTTTATAACCTGAGTGTAGCAGCATTTGTTGTGTTGTAAGGTAATGGTTGAGTAAGTGACCATGTACTTAAGAACCTTGACTTCAGCAAAGGTCCACTAACTTTTAACAGGTGACCCAGAAGGTTCTGCTGCCACAAGCTGAATTTCATTTTCATTATGAGTGTCTCCTCGTTCAGAGAAGATATTTCCCTTTGTGTGCTTCAGGAAACAGCCTGTCAGACCGGCCATTAAGAGTCTCTCCTGGCTGGAAAGATCTGTTCGATGATATCTCTGGGTTTGTCTCCCATTGTTGGTATAGTGAATGAGAATTGGCACGTTTCCCAGTCTTGGAATGGCAATCTCAGTGAAACAGAGAGTGGTGAATAAACAGACAGTGGAGACAGAAAAAGACAACACAGAATTGACACCCATATTGGTAAATTCAAGAAGAGAACTGCATATTTTTTGCCAGTTGGACGAATATAAGACATCAGAGCATTGCATAGAATTTGGACATTGGAACTGCAACAGAGTTTTTCTTGTGTCCTGTATGTTATTACGCTGTAAAATTATGAAGCTTGAAAGTGGAAATGTAATATTTCCTGAAATGTTTTCAGTGTTGTTGTTTAATAAAATTTAATTTTTTTTTTCCTCTCCCTTTCCCCCCTCCCAAAAACAACAGAAGAAGCCAGAGCCACCACCACCGTCTACAAACCCGTTTCTGGAGGATGAAACTGGGACAGAGTCTGGGTCAGAGAAGGAAAGTGAACTGGAGAAGGTAAGAGCAAAGCAAGGCAACTCAAGGCGTAAGAGTTCCACACAGGTACACCACCTATGCACATGTCTGAAATAGAATATGGACTCTCTTCCTGGAGGGACGCACGACTCCTAGACCCTACCATGGGCGAAGGGAGCTATATAAATGCAAGTTGTTGTTGTTGCTGCAACCTGCTCATCTAGTTCCAGAAAGTATTAGATGGAGGTTTGGGGACCCCATTGAACATGCATTGCTTAGTCCTGGAGTTGAAGTAGCTAAAAGCGCATAGCTTGCCATTGAGACCACTCTCTGGCAAGCTTCCTGCCTCTTGTCCAGCTAGCCCCACCCTACCTGTTAGGGCTTTTGTTTGCAGGGTTAACTTTTTCCCATTTCCCTTCTCCAATAATAATTCATTTCGATAGTCAGATGTGACTGATTGATCCCAAACCGTCCAAACAAAAAAATGTTTGGGAAGTTGCTGACAGTTCGCTATGATCTATGGTAATCATAAAGCCCTAAACATAAGATTCCCCCTTAGGCTTTGCCAAAGCAGCTTCATGGTAATTCAGCAGCGAAGAAGGCGGAAGCTGGTTTGTGTAGCTTTCGTTACTGAGGCCCCCCCTTTTTTTCCCCCGTTGAAACTTGCCAGCTTGAGCTATCTCGCTGACTTTAAGAAATCCACATAAGTTGATTTGATATTCTGTTAAATACATCATGTCAGCATAATGATGGATTATCTGGAACTCTCGAGAAGCTTTTATTTAAAATAAAAAAAGAACCACAAAAAGCTGGATACGTTTCAAGCCTTTTAACCTGCACTTGACTGAAAACTTGAATCACAAACGAGTTAAAATCCACGAATAAATGGTCTGAGCTTAAATCTCTTTGAGAGAGTTTGGCAATGTTGAATTTTATAGCACAAAAAGGAGTTTGTTTGGCTCATTGTGGCTGTGGTAGAGCTCTACCCTATAGCTCCACTCCCCTGCCCTTTCTCATTCTTTGTCAAATATTTGTCCATTTCCCTTTTAAAGCTATGGTAGATTCTGCTTTCAGCCACTATTATTGATAGAGCAAACCTTACCCTAATAACCCTCTGTGAAAAAAAAAACTCCTAACCTCTCTGTTTGTTTTCTTTTCTGGTGATGATCTTAAATTTATGCCCTTCATTATTGACTCACCGACCAGAGGAAACAGTTTCTCCCTTTTGACATCATCAAAACCCCTCATCCATGGAAACGGGGGTTGTTTGATATCTACTCAGAACGATACTCACTAAATATGTAGCCTTATTTTAAAAAAAAGTCAGCAACTCAGTGCTATTGAGAAAATGCTCGAGAGAAAATGAAATTTAATGAATAGGAAGATCCAAAACAATAGACTGGGAACATCTATTAGTTCTTCACAGAGAGAAGGAATGTTTACCTGCGAATACAGGGTCGATTTTTTTGATCCCGACTATTTTTAGGCTTGTGCTCTAAATGTCGTGTGCAAATACGTCATCCGTCAAGCGAAGTTTGGTGCTAAAGTTGAATGAACTTTAGTTGCCAAGGGTAATCATGTGCTTCACCACTGGAGTACAATCCAACACCGTCATGGAGGGCTACAGTAGCACAAATAGTCTCAAAACTCCCCTGGGCCACTTTTGGACAGCTGGCTTGATGTTTCTTTATATAGACTGTCTGCCTTGAATCTTGCCAAACTCTGTGCTTCAAGGGTTAAGGGATAAAATCGGTCTCCCTCTAGAAGTTGAACATCTGCCCTTGTGTCATGGTCTCTGGACAAGTGAAATACACGCCAAGAAGAAGTGCAGGAATTTGAAGCTTTGATTTATATGCTGACTCTCTGCTTATTTAATTATATTGGAATAGCAGGAGTGCTTTCTACTGGCCTTGACTCACAACCACCAAAAATGTTGGTTAATAGGTAGGATTCTTGTTTTTCTCAAACTTCCTTTGAGACGGGGTTGGGGGGGAAGCAATTAAATCTGTCTTTATGTTAATACACCAGTTTAATGGAGTTTTCCGATGTCATAATTTTATGAAAATCGAGTAATATAAATAGCTCCCCAAACCAACTCAGAATCCAACCATTTCCTCTATATTTCTGGACCAGACCCAAGTGTTTTTTATTACTGCTACATTTGGGATAGGAGAAGGAGAAGAAAAAAGGAGGCTTCTGGTCCCCATTATTAAGCAACACGTCTGTGAATATACTTACCGTAAAGCTGCTAGTTGCAATCTAGGGATGTGAAGGGAAGAGTGTTACTAGAACATTTATGTAGCCTGTGCCACTTTCACTCAAAGTGGGATCTGGATTTCTGACAAATAGTTAAAATTAGCACCATAGTAATAAACATGTCAAAGTGAGTGTCAGGTACTGATAGCTCTTTGGATCTTGGAGTCAGGAAACTGGCTGTAAATTTAAGTGACAGATGCTATAAATGTCTGGACCTAGGCCCTTGTGCCTGCATGCGAGATTTAGTCTCAAATCCAACAATTACAAATGAAAATGCTCTTTGAAGAATTCCATGCTTATTTTAGATTTTAACTCTGCCAGAGTGAATTTGAGAAGTGCAGTACTACAAATATGCTTTACAGTGCTTGAGGTAGTCATTTCTCTAGCCATTGCAGATGTTGTTGCCAGTCTCCCTCCTCCCCTCCCCAAAACATGGAGACAGTCAGTCCATCTATAATAATAATAACAATCCTTGCATTTGATATTGCGCCTTATCACGTCTTCTAAACGTCTCAAATCGCTTCACAGAATGCACAACACTCCGCTCCCCGATCACCCCAGTCCTTGCCAGACTGCACAGGCTGCCTATCCCAGAGAGGATCGATTTCAAGATCCTCACTCTTGTATTCAAGGTCCTGCACTCTTCTGCACCCCCCGACCTCTCTGACCTCCTCTCTCCTCAAAACAGTGCCCGTTGCCTTCGTTCCTCCGGGTCTGGCTTCCTCCTCGTCCCCCGAGTCCTCCGCTCCACCCTCGGCGGCCGTGCCTTCAGCCACTATGCCCTGAGGCTCTAACTGTCTTCCTCACTCCCTTCGTCTCACTCCCTCCCTTCCCATTTTCAGGTCTCTGCTGAAGACCTTTCTTTTCGACCGCGCCTTTGGTCACCTTCCCCCCCCCTCCCCCTGGCTCAGTCCCGGGATCCATTACTGTAAAGCGCTCTGAGACGCCATCCGGTGTGGAGGGTGCTATATAAATCCAAGTTGTGTTGTTGAATTGACTGCATATTTTGTGGGCGAAGTGCTATAGAATCATAAGCATTTTGTAAGCAAACGCGACAGCCAATTTGTGCACAGCAGTGCCCACAGGCAACTATGATGCTTTATTTGGGTGGGGGGGGGAATTGTTGGCCAAGACACCGGGAGAAACTTCCGTATTGGGTGATGTATCAAAGGTATCTTTTGGAAAGCTGGCGAGATGTACCAATGTTCCATCTGCATAAAATGTACATTAGAAAGAGTGGGCCCACCCGCCAGTGTTAATATTTTCAAACTAAATAGGAAGTCTCATTTTGCTGTTGGCATCCACTTTTTAAAATAAAACTTGTTCTATTGCTGCAGTAAAGGCATAGAACATTCAATGCAAGGGTTGAACATCCTCTAACATATGCCATCGGCGGTCGGGACTTCAGCCTTTCTGCCCCCACCCTATGGAACTCTGCCCCACCTTATGGAACTCCATCCCACAGGCCTCGCTCCCTCCCTTGCCTCCTTAATAATAATAATAATAATAATCCTTGCATTTGATATAGCGCTTTTCACGTCGGGAGGACGTCCCAAAGCAATTCACAGAACACACTGTAAAGTGAATTGACTGTATATTTGTGGGCGAACGCGGCAGCTAATTGCGCACAGCAATGTCCCACAAACAGTCGTAGATTGAAAATGACCAATTTATTATTGGTTTTATTTTTTGGAGGGGTTATTATTAGGCTCTGTATGGAGTAAGGAAACTTGCCCAAGGTTTCGCCCTCTGCCTGGAATTGAACTCAGGTCTCTCGCTTGCAAAGCGAGTGCTCTAACCACTGAGCTACAGGACTCCACGATATAATCTGTATGTTACACCCCTTTCACCTCAGAATTCTAGACCCTCATAGCAATCTACAGCTCTCCGGGAAGTTTATAGCAATATTGGAACTTCATAAAAGCTACCAATTTCAACGATTTTTTTTTGTGGTGGGGGGGAAAGGCCTTTACTACTTTGAACGCTGGCTACGTTGCCAAGAAAAATGTGTATGGATGTCTTCAAAATCTCAAAATGTTAGTGTCTCTAACCACTGAGCTACAGGACTCCAAGGCGCGTCTCAAAATCCTCCTGTTCGCCCTCCCTGCCCTCCACCCTCCTCAGTCCCGGCCCCCAGCCCAAGTCCGAATCCCTGACTGTCTCGCGCCTTGCGACGTCCTCCCCACTTGAAACGTAATTTTGTATTGTATCTCTCTTCCACTCTTCCTTCCCCTCAAAGATACTCAAAAAAAGTATGTATCTTGAATCCGTACGACTTGCTGCAACCAAGAGAACAGAATCCTTTATTCTGCAAATGGACATGACTGTCACCAGTGCCTACTTGTGTTTACCCAGCTGGTATCGTGCATCTTTCATGAATAGGGAAGTTCAAGCCAATTCCACCTTCTTTGAAAGCGGAAAATTTGCATCCGTGGTAATTTGTTTAGCCTGGTGTTCTGAATGCTGTCTTTTCTCACCTCTACAAGCGTTTCCATTCCTGAACGTTTCCCCACAAAATATATAATCAATTCACTTTGCCGTATATCCTGTGAAGCGCTTTGAGACATCTGGAGGACGTGATAAAGTGCAAGGATTATTATTATGTTCATGGCCAAGATTTGGGGCGAGTTATCCCTTTCCTGGTGTCTCTTGAGTGCCAAGTTGGGAACTGTTTTCAAGTTGGAAGGTAGGGTGCCTTCTGTTTTTGTCTCGTCGTGCCTGATGGAGACAGAGCACTTCACACCTTTCCATTGCCCAGCTAACAGTCAAACACTTGATGTAAGGGG